CTCCGCCAAGGTGAAGTTGCTGCTGCTCTGGGGACACGGTTCGTTTTGCACAACACCCAGCAAAATATCCTCGATAAACCTCTGGATGTAAGACTGTAGGAATGGTTTCTGCTCACAGCGAAGAGAATAGGTGCTGCACTTTTGTGTTTTAACCAAGGCAGAGTCTGCTTCTCTACTGTATCTACTCAAAACCTTAACTTGAAATACTATTATTTGTGTTTTGTTTCCAACATGTCCTGACACAGTGTCAGCACATCTGCGATAGTCAAACATCAAACCACATACTTCTCCTTTTTCCCTTCCTGTACTGATGCCAAATATTTCTGAAAGTATCTAATTAAGTCAACTAAGAGCATTGTCAGTACATCTCTCCCTTCTTCCCATCAGCTTAGCCACATGAGTAACTCCTTGTATGTTTCTTGGAGGAAATAAAAGCTGTAACCCTAGTGTGATGCCCAAAGACCACTGACCGTAGATGTCTAAAATGCAAAATTCACTCAGCTGGTTTACACATAAAAGGCACAGATAATTAGAGGAAAAATGTAATTCATCATACATTTGATAATCAGTCTGATTTGGTCTCCTATCTGCACCAGGGCATTCAAATAACCCCCCTACTATTAGCGCCCCACTCTCCCTCACACCAGTAGTCTGTTTTACCCTCTCTTTGTTCCCCTACAACACATTATCATTATTGTAGCTAATTGCATGGTTTGCCTTGAAGTTGTGCTGGAGACTCGTGATCTGGGGTTGAAACGTGGACAGGGATCCAGTCTTCTCCACAGCTTGCTTTACACTGCTAATTGCCGTTACGACAGGATAAGGCATGCTCCTCGCTGTGGCCAGCCGGACCGGGCTCGAACAGGCATGGGGCTGGTCTGGTGGGGGGGATACTATCACACAAGAGTGGTAAGATGTGGCATAACTGAGGTGGGCCGGCTAGGCCAGATTGGGGAGGGAAAGGATAGCAGTTGGGGGCAAGCAGGGGGGATGGAACTGGCGTTAGATGTAGGTCAGCGGGAGTGGAGTACCCTAAAGATTACAGTTGGTTAGTGCGACCCCTCTCTGACAGGATCTGAGCCCTTATTCGCAGCAGAGATGGACCCTGGCATTCGGGGAGCGCAGCTATTAGTAAGGCTAATAAAGCTCGTGCAGAAAGTTTTGAACTTCTGGTAGCCTAGAGACATTGTCCTACCACAGGTCCAAAGGCTGGCTCTTAGTTAATATAGTCCTAAATGGCTGAAGATGGTCTTTAAATGATTGTTAATAAGACAGTGAAGCTGCAATATGGTGTAAGAGAATTCTAATTGCATTTTTATGAGTACATCTTTTTTATTATCTTTGTTTATTAAAGAAGTGTAATGTGAGAGATGAGTTCATCTAACTCTGCAAATCTGAGGTTTGTCTGAGCTCTGATAGTTTCTTAATTCACCTGGGAATGTTAGTTTTACACCACAGTATCAACTTCCAACTTCAGAATGAGTCACAGCTCCCCAATGGGGTTTTAGAAAAGGAAATGGAATCACATACATAACTAGTGACAAAGCCTCCATCACCTCACATAAGATCTCATTCCATCTATGAGAACTTTGGATCTACCCTAGAAAAATAATAAATATCCTCCACTCATGGCGTGCACTCGATTTGCTCAAAAGGAGGTTTCAAGACCAAACAAAGGAAATGGTGTCATTATTGATATATATTATGAGCTAGGGAACGTAGAACAGTTTCCTACAAATGCATGGATAAGGTGTTGATCTCTTTCCTAACAAAGGATCTCTAAAATACAAAGTGAAAAGCTACCCAAGATGAAGCTGGTAAAGAAACGAGTGAGGAAGAGCCTATTTCCACAACACAAACAGATTTCCTGGCCTTTAGCAGTCTCTTACTGGGATACTTTGAGACATATCCATCAAAACACAGCTGTATTCATTCATATTTCATACCTCCTCCTTCTCCCAGTGCTTTAACACTGTTCTTTGATCAAAGGAAAGAAGTGGGATCACAACAGGAAGGTTCCCTGCCAGCCAAGACGGAGAAGGAAGGCCAATACACTACTGCACTGTACATGCTACCGTATAGTTTGGTGCGCTTCAACTTCACTCATGAAAAGAGGGGAACAAAAATGATTAAAATAAATTAATGCCTTGTACATTGAAAAGTAAAACACTTGAGATATTCCCAACTTTATACTGATTTCCACATTTTACAGTGAGCTTCATTCGGGGTCATGTACTGCTCTAGTGAAAAAACTGTGCAAAGTACTTTTTGTTAGAAACACTCCACCGGTCAGCATGCAGAAAATTTACAATTTTTGCGGAATTTGAGGTGATTGGTTGAAGCCTTTGTTAGATTTAGAGGAATAACAATTTCTGCAACTTAAGTGATGGAATTGCTGTGAGAGCAGCAGCCAGGAGCAGATTCAAATCACACAGCTCAAGAGTGTCACCATGTGGAGATATGTGAATATGACAAAACAGTAACTGAGCTGTGCTGGAGCGAAGGCCGTACCTCAGAACACAACTCAGTAACTCCTTCCAAGTTTAATTTTTTTTTTCCAATTAAATATTATGTAAACTGCTTTGCATTAAGCTTTCAGCTTTCCTCTTTGCCTCACTTCCACTATATCAATTCCAAGACATACAGTAGCATTTCCAAAGACCCTTTTCAGTCAGGCACTGAGAAACAGTGTTTGAAGACCTCCCTGACATTTAGACTCTCTCTGAAGATGACTTTGCCTTCTACTATAGCCTGCGGGAACATAGTAAGACCCACACTAAACTTCAATTGATATGCAGTGCCAGATTCCTCTAGGGGAAATTATCATTCTGTTCATAATAAGAGCCACAACAAGCACCTGGAAAATGACTTTATTATACACTCTGCTTCAATAAAAGTTTCCCATGACCCATTGGAAATACACACATAGTGCACGGAGCATAATCATGATGAAATGAAAACTATATTATGCATATGATAGAATGCTTATTTGATGGTAGCCTGTGTGAGGATGCACATCTGCACAGATGTGCTTGATTGGCAGGTGTGTTAATGCAGCTCTGTAGCCTTGAATGGAGGTGCACTGAGACTCCTATTTCCTGAAGCCATTATCCAAGTAGGCTCTGTTTTTCAAACAAATTAATGGCACAAAAGTATATGTATCAAAAATGTAGTGCCCTTCATAATGGAATTCCCTCTGAGCAAGGACATATAACAATGGGTCATTCCTGTCTTTTCCCTCTCTGCCAATGGACATGACCTCCACAGCTGTAACAATGGGACATCCAGCAGCATAAGCACTTGGCTTTTTGCCACAGCCACTACATGCAATAAGGCTGCTTTCATCTTTGTTGTTATATTTAAGGATGACATCCTAGCCTGTCGGCCTCTACTATTGTCTTCACCATGATTGTTTTCTATCGTTGTTTAGCCCCAGTTGTGGCTCTTTGATGAAAAGGTCGCCACTCAATTGGAAAACAGTCATTAAAATGCGGTGGGTACTATTCACCAGTGTGCATGGGGGAACCAACTCAACTGAGCTGGTTAATCAAAAGTTAATTATATAATTTTCATGCAGATGAGGGAAACATTCAAATGAATCCCAACTCTACAATCATTACAAAAAATAAATAAAGAAATAATTCTAAAATGCTATAAAATGTTCAGGGACCAGGAGGCTGTAAACAATATGAAGTTTAATTTGAGGTAAACAAAGTGAATATCCACCAGGGGGTATGGGAAGGAGAAAGTGAGGTTAAATCAAATTTGGAAACATAGATACCAGCAGGTTTTGTTGTCCTGATATACGTGCAATTAGGCAGGTCCTTGATGAGGACACTGGGAGGGAGAAAGTTGGCTTTCACAGGAAATGCTTTGGGATTATTTAAAAGGAATTTATGGGATTTTATGCTTTATCTGTAAACATTAATTATTCTCACACAAGTATACCAAATTGAATTAAAACCATATTTTAGGAAATGTTATAAAAGCATAATTATCTTTTATGAGCATGTTGCAGAATTATTGAAAACTTTATAAAGATAAATATGAACTCAAGTAAATCAATTCAAGGAAGTCTCATAGTGACTTTCAGGAAAAAAAAAATACACCCAAGACAACAATTTCTTCTGTAACTTTGCCAAAGAAGGTAAAGCAGCACTTTTCAAAAAATACTTAAGTTTTTCCTCATCAAAGGAAATGATTGTGCAATGCAAATTACAACCATGAATATTAAACCAACGATGTGAAGTATCACAAATGAACAAGCATTGTTCTGGAAGTGCAATGGAATGTGTTTTAATTTCTCTTTAATTCTATGTGCTTTTATAGTGTTCACCTTTTCCCAGTTGTGCCAGCGGGTTTGGGTTCATTGATGTGCATTACAACCACGCTCTAACAATGCAGGGCCTCCCTGGTGTCAGCACAGTTCATGAATCCTAGCCCCTTATGCACCAGGCGATTAGTATGGTGCTCTGTCTATGGGGCTTTGCCAGAAAATGAGTTCTCTTTAAAACATATGCCCCCTGCTGATTATTTTCCTTTCCTGATATGAAATTCCAATTTTTATAATGAACACCACTTTGCTGTACAGAGAGGGGGAAAAGTTCTACACTTCGTTGTGGATGACTGCAGCTATTCTAAATTAGCGGGAGGCTGTTGTGGACATCACTGGCAGAAAATATTTAGAAGAGTGCCTTGCATTTTGGGTTCTAATCAACATTCAGGTGCGAGCACAAAAAAATCAACTGGTGCAATTTTTCTACATCACGTATGCACATGACTGGTGCGGCAGAAAATGGAATTACCGATACTGTAACTAATTCAATTAAGTCATTGATTTCTAATAAATTGGCTTAATCACCAGCTGTTGTCATGCTAAGATTGTTGTCACAAGTCTGTCATGCTTGTCGGTCGTGGCTGCTTTACAAAGGCTGTTCAGTTTTTTTTTTTTTTTAAGTCTTTAAAACTGTCTATTATAAATAAGAGATATGATCATTTTATCAGATTCCAAAAACTTTATTACAATTTTGCATGGATGTAAATGTTACAGACATATAATTGATAACTGTGTAACAGATGTGGTGATTTGTTGGAGTCATCATCCTGAATTTAGGGAATCTGCCACTGCTGCTGAAGATGAAAGTACAGTGGTGTTTCTTTTCTTTTCCTTTTGGTTTTGCAGCTCTTCATTTATTAGGGAACCTTTTCCTTTGGTCAAAATGACTGGAATCATCATGAATCTGAACGGATGGAAATTAAATCTCAGTTAAGAGTTTGATCTTCTGCTTGGATATTTAATCTAACAATGTATACACACACACACACACACACACACACACACACACACATATATATAAAACTATTAAAAACAATTATGAGCAAATTAGCTATACACTTGCCAACATTCAAAAAGACAGAATTATGCATGCACATATTCAATCATGCAAAAAGGGAAAAATAAAAACAGTCCTTGAGCAGTTTGTATATTGTCATTGCTGCTTTGGAACACAGTGGCACACAGTGGTGCAGTGTACATTAATATTGTACAATTGAAGTAGACATTGGTAATAAATTATGTATAATAAGCACTTACAACATTGTATGGTCTAAGTCTCTGTTGGATTGGGGCGCTCGCCTCATCGGGAAGAGTCACCACTCCTCCTGTGCCCATCATCTAAGTAGAATAAAAAAGATTTTAGAAGATAAAACCAAGGTTGATATAAAATTCAAACTGAACATAACATTTACAGCATTGTAAAAAGGGAGAGAATAAAGCAGCAGTCAGGCTAACCTGACCTGTTTTATAGGGGTAGTTCTGATTTTTGAAACAGTTGATGCATTCACATACATTCAAACAAACAAATAAATACATCTTTCACCCTGATGGTTGCCTCAAGCTTTCCCACACTTCTTTTTCCACCTGGCAGCCACCCGTAGGACCAGTGCTGGGACAGGGTGACCTGAACCACCAACGCCAACAACAACACCTGCATCGTCAGTCTGCTGCTTGCCTCCATTAGAGCTGCACTGAAGCCAGAGTTGTAAAAGAAAAAGTCACAGTATCCTCATTCACAGCTCCACAGATCAAGGGTTACTCAACATTAGTAAACGCAACTTCAGATGGTAATTAATAAGAGTAATTCTATCATAATTAACATTGAGCAAATTCAATGAGAACTGACCCACCTTTATGTTTGCCTTGTTAGTATGTGGTGCATTGACTAGAGGGAGATTTTATAGCTGTTGTACAAGGCTGCTGTCAGGATTTTAATCCCCTCTCTGCAGGTGTGACACATTTACTGACTAATGGGACACAAAATACTACTAATAGGGTTGGCTAAGTGCTTATATAAGCCGACATCACTATGTGGGTTCAAACTGTATGAAATATGTATCATAAACATCTTTGTGCTTCCAAAACATCTGTGTGGAGGTGATCAAAAAGACAACGTCAAGATGAAATCTGATGTTTCTCTCCATCTATAATTTATTGGAATCAACTTTTAGCAAACAAATAGCAGCTCAAGTCCATACAAAAAGAAACACCATTGAAATAAGATGCTTGTACATTTATATTACACCAGCTACAAGGCCTCACTGTCATTACCCTTATTTCTTATTCCTTCAGAATGACAGTACATTAAATTGAAGTCAACAATGCAGTAAACCTTAAGGATGATTAATGATCACAAAATGAATTTACAGTATATAAACCTGTCGTATAACTTTATAATATGAAAGTGGAAAGTTCTTCACCCAATCTCATTTACGTATTGTTTTATAAAGAATAAATAAGCCTTGCAAAAATATATGCTTTTGATTTTGCAGCAATTTTGCGGTTGTGAAGCTAATAAAATATGTCAAAATGCCTGTGCATGTATATTTCATATTTTGACTGAGCCATGGTTCTTGATATCAGTGCTCTTCACTGTCTCAGACGTTTTTTTTTTTATCTCAGTCCCTGGGATGAGCAAAATTCAACTGCATCAATTATTAACTCATTTAAACCCAAAGTTCTACAGTGTTTTTTTTCTCAACTGCTCAGAGACACAGTTTAACAACAACTAAAATTGTGATACATTTGATATCCTTATACTATTCTGAGAAGCATTTGTATCAACAATGAACTAATGATCCATACAGGAGACACCAATTCAAAACAATATGCTTTTAAAAGTATATCTATTACAGCATATCTAAATTAAACATAAACATTTGGCTAATCTTCATTTGAACTGTGTCACTTGGTGACAGGGTTTTCACGATTAGAACTGTTTTCTAATCAATATGGCAACACTTTATGCAAACATGCAAGTATAAAACTGGCTTTTTAAAGTGTGTAAAAACTTTTTAGTAAGCAGGATGTGATGCTTCACTGCAATACATTTGTAAGAATGATACATCTGGATTCATGCGATGCATTAAATTACATTAATACATCATTTTCTGCCTATTCCAATTTGGGCTAATTGTATTTTACAGCATCAGGCACCAATCCGCTAAGCAATATTGCCAGAGGAAAAAAGAAAGTTGGTGAGGTTGAATAAAATTGCAACAGACAGCAGCTGTTAAGTTATTCACAAACAAAAGTAAAGTAATTTGCAGCGTCTAATGGAGTGAAATGTGTCTTGAGTTCTATGTTTTTGCTTAACCTAAATGCACATCATAAATATTATTCACACATCAGACAGGACATCATTTAGGCAAAAGCATGAATCTTGTTTCACTACTTATCAAACACGCAATTTATTCTCTTTAGAGCAATCACACATGTTGAATGGGCAGCATAGATCAATGCAAACCAAAGTGTTGTGGTTGGTAACAAGTTAGTGATGTGTGTCATGTAGTGAACAATGCATACTACAATATACAGTATATACACATTATTTATATAGATCAAATTTGTATATTTATTGTTATTGAATATTTCCTCTTAGACACTTTGACCCTCACAATGTTGCACATATGCAATACAAAACAACTGTTTTTACATTTTCAAGAATCCAACCAACCCATTAATTAAACCACTATAATTCCTACACTGGAGTAATTAAAGATCAAACATTCCTGAAAGAGACAGACTCTCCTGGAGTGCAGATATTTCCAGTTATATTACAATATGTTACAACATTTTTAGATCTGTGATCAAGTGCAAAATATAAAAAGAGCTCACATTAAAAAACAACATTCAGAAAAAATTGCATAAGTTAACCTGACTTATATAGAGAACACTGTCTGGCAGGTATTATTTAAAATTTGCGTAGTCTGAGAAGATGTCAACAAAATCCTGAACCACTCTGTAGCAGAAGTCATATTGTTCCTGGAAGGAAAAGAAAAAGGAGAAGTGCTTCAGAACAACACAGAGATGAATAAGCTGACAGTTTCTGCACAGCAGATACGATTTGATCTTGTTTTCCACCTACCACAGTCTGAACCATGTGTGGTCTCTGCATGCGTAAACTCTTGACTGTTTGAAAAACATCCAGCAGGCCTTCAGCTTTCACCCTCTCTAGAATGTTACTGAGGGCAATGAAGGTACCGGTCCGACCTGCACCAGCACTGAAACATGAAGGATAGCAACCACACAATGTAATGCACACACTGAAAACTGAGACCTGTTGCAGAACAGCAGGTGTGGAGGAGCAACAAGCAATCTAGAAATGCGGCTCAGAAGTAGAACAAGATTTGAAATTCTAACAAATTTTCTTAACAATACTGCAATAAAATGCAATTAGCAATACATCCTTTTAGCATTAAAATGAAGACGTCTGCAAGAGCAAAGGTGACCTTTGTGTAATAGCGCTAATAATCATCCTCACTTAAAGAGAGGCTAATCCAAAAGCTAACACTAATCAGTTTGGAAGCTCAGTGTTTGACTGAGTCAATGTTTACTGTGATGGTGGGATGGAGAGAGAAAGACATAGAGGAGCAAGTGTGAGAGCGATGTGCAATGTGGAAGAGAAGTATAGAGAGACGTTGGGGATTGCAACGGGTTAGCCCCATTCCCCAGGGACGGAGAAAAAGCTTTAAAAAGCCCCTCTTAGACAAGTGGTGATGAAGGAATAGAAGAGAGTGATGACACCATTTCCTGTCGTTAGCTCATCTTATCAGATTAATCATAGTGGGAGTCAGAGGAGATTTCACTTTGAGAGGTTTTAATTGACTGTGAATCAGTGGATTGGATCAATCCCACAGGGGCGTGCTGCTTTAGAATCACTTCACCTGAAGCTAGGTTCTGATCAAAGCTTTCACAGCTAAGTCTTTATAAGGTATCACATAAGTGGTTTAGGCATAGAACACCAGGCCTACCGAGGCAAAATGTTGAATTTATTGTTACAGACATTTGTAGGAAAGAAAATGTTTCTGTAAAACTTAAACTCTTCTAATGTCACTCAGAGATTCCAATGATCAGGTAATAAAACCACAGTGAAAATGAAAGGCGTTGTATTACTGTAAAAGCACGTGTGGACAAATATATAATGTAATGAACTGTATAAATTTTCATCTGAAGATGCACATTATGTTGCAGAATTGTCAAGCTGAACTTCCTCACCTGCAGTGCACAATTATGGGACGGTTTCCAGACTGCTGCTGCTGCCTCTGCACAGCAGCAATGATGTCAATCATCCCTCTTCCCTCGGCTGGTATTCCGATCTCAGGCCATCCATGGAAGTGGAAGTGTCGGACATGTTGTGACTGCTTTTCCTGGTGAGTTGGAGAGTTTACTCTGTTATTTTCATGCAGTATATATAAAATACATAGCTAAAATGACATTTCATAAAAAAAATTAACCTATTCATCTGTAAAGATAACACAAAGAAAACATGATGCAAATGTGCAGATATACTTATATTTTAATGTTTTTAAGTGTTGAAATGAAACATTACGCACTGGTCTGTAGGTGAGCACCATGTCTTTGAGAGTGAAGGCTCCACACACCGTATCTCCAGTCAGCTCCACAGAATAATCTCCAAATAGTACACTGCCCTCCGATGGCCAATACTGGAAACACTTTTCCTGGTTGGAAAGGTCAGATGAAAAAACGGCTGCCTGTTTTATACCTTAATTTTGTTTTTATATTTTCAGTGTGCACCACAAAAACATACAAAGAGTGTCCGGGGTAAAAAAACAATGAGACAAAATGAAATAAATGAATAAAAAAGTTACTGTGTAAATGTGAAACTCCACTTTACATCCTGTGCATTTGCCAGGGCACCATTCTGTACCTGCTCCCTCTCTTTGAGTTCGGTGAGCATAACGACTGAATGACACCTCCACTCCCACACCATCCTCCAGAAGTCCTCCACTGTGTGAGACAGGGGGCCCTGGGTTGCGATAAAATAGTCCTTCTGCCTGTAGCCCTGGAGGGCAGATCATCCGGTAAACACACTTGAGCGTGCAGCAAACATAATATTTTGCATTGTTTGTAAAGGACACAATGAGCTTTGTATATACTTCTATGGGAAATCTATACAGGAGGTTGTGAGGGAGTGCTTACATCAATAAAGGAGGCATTGATGTAGTCAGTGAACTCCTGCCCTCTTTTCACTGAGAGTATTACTCGGTTGAAATCATCTGCAAAAAGAAAATGTAACTTTCCACAAGTGAATCCTAATAAAATAAAACTTTGAAGGGGCTGATGGGGGGAAAAAAGTTACATTTATGCTGTGTTATTAAGGCCATAAATGCCAGAGCCTATATCAGGCTTCATTGTAAAAAAAAGTTGTACCCTGGTTTCCCTTTCCCACTTTACTTCAAACTTGAATCTAAGATACAAGCCCTATTTAAATGTCACTGATCCCACAGACATGATCTGATTAGCCAGATATCTGTGTACGGCATCTATAAAACCACTAGCAGTGTGATACTTTGATGTAAACTGGATGTGATGTATTATGAAACTGTGGGGAGTAAAAGAGTAGTCCTTACACGGAATGATCTGAAGCACTCGGTTCTTCTTCATGTTGGCAGGAAGGTTTCCAGTTCTCATATTTTCCTTCATTATACGAACATTGGTCAGCTTCTGATAGGGAAAACATGAGTGGACTGACATGATCAGTAAGATTGATTTCATCTATACAGGCCATTACAATGCTAATAAACATAATCATTTTTAAGACTGGTGATGCTGAGATAGACAATACATTAAAAATGCAACAAGTAAAGAGACAGAAGCTTATCGGTGGAACAGAAAACAGAGGAAGAGGCAATAGGGAATAATTCCATTCAGTATGTAGGGAACTGTGAGGAACTCTTTGCAACAAAAATGAGAAATTTTCACCAAGCTAAGGTAAATTCTATGTGGCAGATGGTGGCGCCATATAAAGTTTTAGTTGATTCAAAGCATTGTTATTTATGTTACTACTGCCAAGAGCGGCACCTTGGGCAAGTATTCTATGAAAATATACCCATGCAGGGTGTAAGGTGATGGGGACGATTCATTACTGACTGAAATGTTTAAGAGTGAGCTTCTTTCTTCGTACCCTGAACTCCTCCTCCAGGCCCAGCCTGTCGTTGGGAGCCCTGGTATTGTGAAGCCTCTGCAGATGGCCCTCCAGAGAGCACACATCTAGCTCTGTGTCTCCATACAGATAGTACTCCAACAGAGCCTGGTAGATGAAGGAGTACTGCATCTGAGGAGGAAGACAGAGGAAGAGGTAGAAGTAGTTTTTCGAAGTATTTCCTACTACTTTCACATTATAGACATGGTTGTTCTCCATGTCCTCACTTGTTTACGCCACCGCTATAGCAGCGAGTTGAGCTGTCAGTCCAAGGTACAACAGGTCAGAAAGGGTCAAAGCTTACATCTGTCTGGATGAGTTGACAGCGCTGTTCTCGTATTCTGCTCACAAAGCCGAAAACATCCACCCTCTGTTCCATGTGCATCATGTCGATCATGCTGTCAATGACAATGAATGTCCCAGTCCTCCCAACTCCAGCACTGTGGAAACACAAAGAAGAAGAAGGCACAAGGTCTTTTCTGCAGCAAACAGCCAAGAGTAGCTATAAAACAAAATGTGCTAAAGAAGAACTGTGTTAAATATTGTATTTATATACTACATACAGCATCCACAGCAGCAAAATAACACAGCTGAAGAGAGTTTTTCTCACACAATACAGAGTTGAAATGACAGATTTTTGCAGTCTTGTTATGTACTGCCACGCTATCCTTGTATTCTGGACATAGACATCAACTGTGGACAGCGGCCCCGAGCATGTGTAAAAGTGCTTCACCCCTGAAGCCCAAACACACTCCTGATAGATTTACGAGGGTCATTTCAGCAGACGGCACCGCTGGGAGCACAGAGGTGGTATTCCACAGCGGGATGTTGAAGCTTCATCAATGGACCCCATTCAAGTACAACAGTCCCTCTCCCTGAGCACCTGTTAGAGCAGTTGCTACAATCAGCTGCAGATTTCTTTGGTGAGGCTTTAATTTGGTGGCCAGACAAACATAGAGTATGCACACACCAACCAAGCCATTACAGAATGTATATTGTATGTACACAGTAGATGCTTTTATTTATCTGCAGCTTGACTTTATATATTTATCTACAGTAATGTTCACCTCTAACCTTATTAAACTTAATCAGATAATAAAGACATTCACCTTTAACCTTATTCAAGATGACATTATTCAATTTTAGCATTTCATCTTTAAACTGTTCTATGAAAAACCAGGACATTTTGGCGCCTCTGGCATAAGCACTGTTAAGAGTGTTAAACACTGTTGATAATTTACGTACCATATTTTAGTTTTGCTCAAAGGTTTATTGCAAAATAGAATATTTAAATCTGGATGGTGTTTTTTTTCCATTTAAATAATGACAGGAAGCCTGTATATATCAAGGATTTAGATTTTATAGATTTTACACACACACTACACATTTTACCTGCAGTGAACAATAATGGGTCCAGCAAATGATGGGTTGACAGCTTTGACCTTTTTGAGAAATTTCAGCATGCCAATAGGAGAGAACGGCACCCCAAAGTCCGGCCAGCTGGTGAAATGGAGCTGGGTGACCAGACGTGGAGCTCGGGGGCCATCACTACCCTGCTGTGAAGCACAGACACGTTAAGTTTATACATGTGTATGAATGATGTTCGCTGTGCAGATATAAATCAGTCAACTGACTTCTTCTCTTTAGTATGAAGCCAGTGAACTAAAACTTATTGGAAAATAACAGAATTTTTTTTTCTTTTTTTGTCATTTTGCTTTTTGTGACTGAATATGATTATTAAACATGTGTACTGGTTTGCCTCTGCCATGCTCTCTTAACTCATGAATGCACTCTCAACAGAATGTGATTTCCATTCTCTTGAACACTTGGCTGCTCTGTGCTCAGCGAGCTGAGTGTAAAAGCACCCAGCCTGTCAGCTTGTACGGCAGCGCCACGGCACAGTGTTCACAGAGTCAGGGAGGATATCTGCTCTTCTCTGGCTTCAAATGGAGAGGGAACAAAGTGAATTTTGCAGTCTGAAGGCTTCACAGCACACTGAGACGGCACCCGACTCGGCAATCAGAAACACAGGAACAAAAACACAGAAGCTGTATGTGTATGAACCTTTAAAAAGGAGTTGATGACACAGCATCGTACATTAAATGCACCTACATATAGATCATTTTATGCTGTGCCTAATACATTTCCTTTAATATGTTTTAATGTGTTCCCACACTGGTTTTCATTTATTTATCATATTTTGCATGTTATTACTGTTTATTAAAATGTTTCATTTGCCCCGTGGGGGACATTATTTTTACACCATCTCAATATAGCTTTGTTTCGTGTTTAATTTTTAATAACAATCTAGCTATTATGATTATAGATTTTTTATAGCAATTAAGACCTATGTCGAAAAAGCACACTATTATTTTCATAAAATGTGCCTAAATAAAAGCAACATTAATCTTAATCTTAGGTAATATTCTGGATAAATGTTTCCTTGTTTTTACTGCACAGTATAATTACATTTTCACTGATGTACTGTGAGGTAAGTCAAGCTGTACACTTTGCTGTGCTGAATGAAACGCAGCTGTGTGTACAAAGTGATCCATCCCTAATTAATATCAATAATGTTCTAATGTGTAGACACACACAGCATTTTACTTACATATTGAACACATAATTTTCTTATGGTGTAGTCCACCAGCACAGTGAAGTCCTCCAGTGCCACCCTGACATTCCCGTACATCCTGCAGCCTTTTTCTGGCCAATACTGATAACATTTTTCCTGGTGACAGAAGAGAAACAAAGAAGAGGTTATTCCTGTTAAATAGAGAGAGATAAATTTATCAGGAGATAGACAGATAAATAACTTTATTAATGTCCAAAGGGAAATTCTGGACTACACTAGACTATCTTCACCTCTAAAAAAAACATCCAACAGTTTATTATCATTACATTTAACATATAAAATTGTTGTATAGCTATTTTGTATATTGTATTTGTACACTTAGAAGCGTGTTTCTGATGTGTGTGTACATCACAAACAGTTCAAAAGTAATCACAGAGACATTGTGCGACTCTGTCAGTCAATAATATTTTCAAAGTGATATTTCAACCCATTAACTAAATTCTCAGACTAATTATCACGAAGCCTCTAAGGATCTTATTATAGGATCTTATAACAATTATTTTGTCATTGATCTTCGGTGCATCTATTCTGCTCTATCAAACCTACTGCTGAGTTTTCAATTGATCATCCCTTTGAGGCTAAATTTAATGTGATGTTAAGTAATCTGCTGGGTGACACTTTGTATAGATTCTCATTTGGACAAGAGGGCAAATAAATTATGCCCATGACTTTGAGTCATGAGAATACAAAAGAGTTTCATTAATGATTCACTGGAGCAATAGATTTTCTATTCTATAACGTGCCCTGCTTGGTAGCATTAGAAGGATGCAATGCAGATGGAGAATACTCTTAAACAAACCTCCTTCCTTTCTTTAAGATTTGTCAGCATTACTATAGTCGCTGTTTTCTGTTCCCAAATCATCCGCCAGAAGTCGGCCACTGTCTCCAGCTTTGGGCCTGAAGCAGAATCAGTCCAAATATTACAAATATGGAGCAAATGGTTACAAACTAAAAAACCTGCATGTGCAAAATTACTTAAAAATACTAAACCAAGACAAAATGTACATTTACCTTGGGCTGCAATGAATTTGTTCTTCTCTTTATAACCCTGTGAAAAAAAAAATTTGTCTTGATGATTTGTCAAGAGCCACACTGTTAGCACTAAGTGCTTAACTGTAGTAAAACTCACATCTATGTAAGATGCATTTATGTAGTCTGAACACAGATGTCCATCAAGATGACTTAACACAACCCTCGAATGGTCATCTGTGGAACAAAGAGAGAAAAGAGATCAACAGTCTGCAAGTAAAGGTGGTTCTTTTGCCGCATTTGAGCCCGCACCACCTTTCCTTTAAATTTAGTAATCAATAAAACTGCTAGTCTTAAAGTTACATTCATATTGTCTGCTGCAGGATATAGATCCTCACTCACATGGTAAAATGTTTGGGTATCTGTTTTTCTCTCTGTTGTGCTCTCTGCTCGCCTCTTCAAAGGACCCGTGACGGTAGTAACACGGCAGTGACTATAAAGAGAGAGAGGAATCCTCATGAGAGAAGAATACAACCACGCGTACACAGCCTACCAACATAACATTTTATTACTGTTTTTTGTACTTGTTCTATGCTTGCAGGACAAAGATCTTAGTCAGATACAGACTGTACCACAAAGTCTACACCAAATAAACTCATGCCCACATTGAACTCTTCTCTGAAGAGCTTGCCATCATCTGCAGACCGTATCCTGTACTCCTCCTCCAGCGAGTCGAGGGGGATGGGGAAGTACCTCTTGGATGGTGAGGGAGATCTGGGGAGGAGGACCACTGTCTGCTCTCCTGTGTTTAAAGGAATATATGGCATTCAGACTGCTAACGCTTCCCAAAAGAGAACATTACAAGCTCACACAGCACCTGCAAAAACAAGCCTGGTGGCCATTAAGATTTCCTGCTTCTGTGGGTACATGACAGAAATGATTTCTTGAGTCATAAACATGCTGCTGCTGCTGCACGACACTGTCTTAACTCAGAATTTGGCCTTTCTGTTTATTTATTTATTTTGTACTTAAAGACAAAGTTTATATGGCTCCCTACGTGCTAGGAAAGCTAAGAGCTTTCCAAAGCCTTTCCAGCCATCACAGACTCCAGGTTGTGAAACTTCCCTAGTCCATAAAGATTGTAAATCTACAAATCAAATAAAAAAGAAATAAAAAGCAAAAGGCTACATTATTTTTTCATGCACTGGTGGTTATATTGAGTACAGCACAACAGTACCTCGTTCCTCCAAAAAGCCATTTGGAATTTTTTTATCCACTGAGGTAACCAGAGCTTTCCTGTGGTTTTTGAACCTATAGTAATGACAGACAGAGAAATAAAGACAGCAGAGCCATCAAAGAACACAAAGGGCAAATATCTGTATTGGTGAAGCACAAATGAGCTGACCCTAATCTCTAGAACGGAGGTGTTAAGTGCACAAGGTAGACAAACAACAAATACCAAAGCCAATATCAACCATCTGACAGACGCAAAGCTGCTCCTCCTCATGTCGTTGTCTGGCAGAGGTCTGAGCTGGTCGGTCCATGAATGTGTGCCTGCGGACTCATCTGACTAAGCTGGTTTTGGTAGCTGTCTTACTTGAGGTGCAGCTGTTTAGCCACAAGCTACATCTTACTGGTTGTTTCTAAACCACCCCTCAGCTCCGTGACCTGACCTGACACACACATATGCTCACACGGTTTATAAGCATAGATTCACTTAAATACAGGGAACAGATAAGTGAGTGGACATGTGCAGGCTTATTCACCTCAGACAGTAGATTGTCAGCAGGACAATGATGATAAGAAGCAGGGATATGACCAATGCTGAAGGTAGCACATGAGCACCCTGATGGGTGGGGTTTTCTGGATAAAAGACAGTGAATCAGATTAGTTTTATCCTAAAGTACATTCAAACAAACTCTTGATGTGTGATATTTTAAGTAATAGTTAAGAAATATGCTTATTTGCTTTCTTGCTGTAGATAAAAAATAAATAATTCCACCTAGTTTAAAGACTTCAAGCAGTTAGAACAGCCAGCGTGGCTCTGTTCAAAGGTTAAAAAGCTGTCTGTAACATTTAACAATCACTACTTGTTTAATCCGACCAAAAACTGAAATGTAACAATGATAAACCGTGGTGTTATGAGGAGTTATGTGCTAAAATATTTCTTTCTGTATGCCACCAGCCCTGGCCAAGAAATAGTCAGACATGTAGTATAACTTTGTAAAGTGAGCTTTAGAGGTGCTGATAGGCACATTATTTTCCAGTCTGTGTGCTGTATTCTGGCACTTCATAATGGACAGAAATGAAACGAGAATGTATCAATCTGTTCACCTCAGCAAGTTCATCTCAGCAAGAAAGGAAATAATCCTATTTTCCATAATGGTGAACTATTGCTTTAAAGCAAGTCTATGTAAATTTTGTTGACTTATAGCCACTGCAGCCACAAACGACCATTTTGGGATCGTGGTAAATTAGTGAAGCAGCAGCACAAGTAGAGGGGAGTCACAAATTCAGCAATAATACCAACATCTGCCTAGAGATTGCTGACATTAGCTACTGTACCATAAGGCACTCATCACACCGGAATAAGTAAGGCTATAGCAGCAAAATCCCTGAGTGCATCTAAGTGTGTAAGGATGTGATTTAATGGCAATGTGTTCAATGTTCCACATATATGCAAAACATGTATTTAATTTTTCTAAAGTTATATAGTCTTGCTTTAATGATCTTTGCCAAACACAGTATAATTGGCCTTCAGTCATTGCAACCATTACCTGCAGTTTGGTTCTCATGAGATGAATTATTCACAGCAACAGAGATCCCAACCAGAAACAACACCATTGTCACTGTGGATTAAAAAACAAAAACAAATGTCAGTTTAACAAAAAAACCCAGATTGAACCCTGTAATTCTTCACAAATTCCACTAGAAGGCGCTAAACCAACATGAAAAGTATCTGCAGCTTGATGAATCATACAGAGGGCAGACGGGAGAGCTCTTTGATGAGGCTTCAGAGTGATGCCTGCATGTCTTTCTGCTGAACAGTTGAAGCCCTTATGGGAAATCTGCTCACAGACTTGTCCTGTCAGGCTGACTTAGAAGAGTGCAGCATATCAAATAACATAATATTCAGACATCAAACCAGAGAGGAGGCTTTAACCCACAGGTGACATATCCATATTCCCTGCGGACCTTGCAGATTTGACAGTGGAGCTGAGCTCAAGTAGTATTTGTTAGAAGCCATCTTGTTTTGGTGTGTTGCATTTTATGTACAACACTGTGCAACCTGGCAAAGTGTCCTGCTTAGTGACAATATGACATACACACTGGTCCACAATGTGGTAGCTGTTTTAAATAGAGTGGACATAACAATGTTTTTTTCAGGATAATAGTGATAATAAACAGGCTTAAACAGACTGTTGTGTAAAATTGCCATATGTATATAGGTTTTACTGCTGGTTTTATGAGGAAGACCAGATGGAGCTGCTTTCACTTAACAGCTTTTTCATTTTTTCCTGTCATCGCACTGTCTCTTTTTCCTCTCTCTACAGTAAACCACCATTTTATTTGAAACCACATTCTCACTGTTCTCTTTTACTTTATTGCAGGAAGCTGTTAGTGATTTGTGAGGGGCAGAGCTACACGTTTCTTTCCAAAAAAATAAAGAACAACTTCTTCACAACTGCACCAGAAATAAATTGGTTCTGACACATTATCCTTGTGCCTTATTAACTCCAACATGTAGCAGCCACTTCCTCTAAACTCACATTAATTTCCTCCCCCCCGTCCTCCACACAAAAGGGTAAGAAATCACAAAATAAATTGGGCAAATGGGGCAAATCTGCTTAAATGGCTTTGATGGAATAAATGAGAGAAGCAAAAACTGAGTGTCCTAATTTATCCTCTGCTCTAAGTCCCCTTCTTGTTATAGAGAGCACAGGATGGGATGGAATAATTCATGGTGTCAATTTAGTTCTTCTAAAAATGGGTCATCTAGGGGCCTAATTTGTGATGTTTGAGAGAATGTCTTGCACACAACCCTAGGGGTCTTCATATAACTCTATCTGCCAAAGCATTTGTAGAGAATGAAGATATATCATAACAGTCTAACAATGTACTCAAAACAAAATGCATGCCAAAGCAAAGACAGTATTATTGGACAACAAATTAAAAGCTCTCTCTTATGCACATTATAACGTATAATATGTGGTACAACAGCAAGGATGCTGACATGCATGTACATTTGTACACTCAAAGGGGTGTAATCAGGCTTTGTTTTATCTGATGTCTATTTTTCACAAAAAAAGTGAACAGGCAAATAAAATGGCTGTGACACCCAGATTCAGAAGCCCCAGAATCAAGCCTAAGCTGAATCCAACCTTAGACCAAGCCATCACCCAAGTTTCAACAATTTTCATGCACAAGGAAGGCAGTGTCCCTATAGATTTCAGTCCCTCAAATATGAATAATAACACACAGTGCATTTTCTCACTTCACATGTATGCATTTTTTGTACATACTCTACATCCTAGAGCCAATGGCTATGTGCTGCATATGAGCCACACTCTGTTGGAGGAGCCACTTCTCTCCTCCAGTGTTAACAAGCTGACAGTGTTGGCACCTGTTCACCACACAGACCCATCCTACAACTCTATGCTGCAAGGCATGCTGTGTGTACGGGTCACTGCACAGGCCACAGCATATCTGTCATCTCCTGACGGCTACTGTATATTGACCATAGAGCTAGGAAATGGAAGGATATAAGTGAAATGTAAAATACTGTATGTCCAGTGACTTCATTGAATGAAAAATGGCACCTCAGCTGTAGAATAAATGTTCTCCTGTAGCCCTAAAAAGAAAAAGAGGAATGGGTTAAAAGAAAAAATGTATTAGAACTGAGTCTAAGCTGCTGATGCATTATTGCAGTGTGGCCCTCTGACCAGCAGAGAGGATTAATAACACATATGCTAAGAAGAGCAAACAATAGTGGACATCTTATTGCATGGGAGGAAGGGTCACTGTGCTGTAACCATTACCTGTGAATACAGTTTTAATATGCTGAGTTCAGTCTGGGAGCTCTTAAAAATGTGCAGCTCTTTTGGTGTTGTTTAAACTGAGATTAAATCTACATAAAACTTCTCATGGCTTATTCTGACACATCAGTGCCACTTACTATACACTATATATGTTACTCAGCTTATGACATCATCTGACCCTCATATAAAACAGGATTTTCCCAAAAAATATGTTTTAGTATAATTGCTATAATTACCCACCAGCTATTCTGTCATTCATTCCAGATCCTGCTTTTCTGGCTAGTTAATGAAATACTAACAATGGTGTTATTACTGCAACCACCAGCACCCACTTGATATACTGTAAATGCTCACAGTGAATTAAATTATACTGCATCACTTGAGCTGGGAGTGCAGACACAAAGTCATCCCATTCATGCATGATGCAATCCTAATGTTCAAAATGCATAAGATGCTGGTTGAACCTTGAAGGTAAGGATTATACTCTGGGCATCACTATACATCATTTACCAGTGATTTGCTTCACTTTTGTGCTTGTGAACACAGACGAGATGAAGATCGCAACATGAATGTGAGACAGCTCAGAAAAAAAAACACTGTGATACTATATATACTGTACATTTCTCAAATTCTAAGGCTCACAGCACCTGAAAATGAATCTGTTCTGCTTCACTTCAACATCTCCCTCACCTCACCTCCCACGTGAAAACCTGAAAATGAGACTCAAAGAATCGGACATAGAAATGCCAACCACAGAACTGGGTCTTTTCCTTGTGGCAAACCTGCACCGAGTTTACTCATCTTTATTATCACCTAATACCAACCTGTGCAGGGGAAGGTGAGAAAAATAAAAAAATCTGCTTAAATTGTCTTTAAGTATACCTTGATGCAGACTTCTGAATATTTAAAATAAAGCATAAGCATTATACTGTAACTTCCTGCCCTTAGGGAAACACCTCATATAATTAATGAATGTTATACACACTTCAGACTGGACAATGCATAATGATGTAAATGTATAATACACGTGCACTATGGTGCAAGCTTATTATATCGCAAATGCATACCATAAAATGTCTCGAATAATGCTTTAAATCAGCTTAGACCAGACAGCTTGGCACAGAGTAGATGGCATGTTTGTACACAAAAAGATATGAGGTTTTTGTTTATTTGTTTGTTTGTTTCCAGGAAGAAGAGGAACACAGAAAAGAAAAAAACTGTCATCACCAAAGTACCAAGGAAAAAAGAGCGCACCCACATGTCAGTAAAGTGTGGCAGTAGAGAGGAGAAGATAGATGAGAGGGGAGATGAGATGAGAAGGCAGGGGAGAGGAGTGGAGCTGTAGGAGATAAACGTCCTGATTCTGGCTTCAGAGATAACAGCCAAAATGGAAGACATTTTTAGTACACAGAAGCAGTAAAAAGGATGAAGCTGTACTGTCTTGTAAGGCACAGCCATATCTTCAAATATAGCTTGCTGTTTTTCACATAAGAGGGGGGCTTTGCAACAAGGCTGCCTTTTGAAAATGCACTCAATTTAACAGCAGCGCAAAATGCTCAAAATGATCCTACAGAATCAAAATCTTTGTAAAAATGTTTTAACAAAACCTGAACATTGTCACTTTTATAAGGGGAGGATTAATTGCAGGACTGTATTATTTTTAGCTTTGTGTACCTAATAAACTGCCAGACAGAGTGTACACCAGCCACAGGCCAGAATTAACCGGGTCTTTAGTAAGATAAATGAATAAAAGACTTACACTTCTAAACAAAAGCCAGTGTGATCGGTTATCAGTTGACCCGTCAGTCCACAGCAGCCATGTGATCCCAGTTCTTTGCTTAATTGGATTTATTGAGGTTATTTACCCTCAGTCCTTGTCCTATTCACATCCTCTCCGGGGTATCAATAATAGTACTGGATGAGGAGGTGACTGAGATTGTGGCAGTGCCTGAGGTTGAGTCAGAGCTTCAGATTTGGATCAAGGCACAGAGGATCATAGGAACCTGGAAAATTAAGCAAAAGACAGTGAAAGCTCTTTGATATATTATATTTCTAAACACTGACTCAAAACCAAGTCCTGGAATGCATGAATACACAGTGAGTGGAATGAGTGGGTGTTTACATCTGTGCAAAGTATGTCTGAGACAATGACTGTACTTCATTAACTATGTGTGTGTGTGTGTGTGTGTGTGTGTGTGTGTGTAGTCATTTGTACTGTGCATGGCCAATGTTTGTTTACTATTTTGTTCTGTCTTCGAAGACAGCCTCTGTGGCAACTTAAAGAATTCACTGTTGCAAAGCTAAAACATTAACAAGCTATTTATCTCCAACCATGCAAAACTAATGCTTACCAAATTAGTCTTCACTGCTTGTGGTACACATGATGTGTTTGTACACATTCAACACTTGCTTCCAGCAAAATAATTATAAGCAACAATCACCTTCAAATCTAATAAAGGTAAACAAGACAGTGGTGATCCCAAGCAGTGTTGCCTAATTAAAGTTAGCATCACACGTTGTCCTTAAATTTGTCTTGAAAGTGAAAGTGGCTATGCAACAGAACCCCTCACAGAAACTATGCATGTTGGAGTTAATTCCTCTCTCTTTAGACAAAGACATTATTGTGATGTTATTCTATCACCCTGCTTGAGTCTGAGAAAGAAAGCATGTGCCTTTGGCCCACTCACTTCCAACCCTCCCGGAGTCCCACTGCCCACAGGTGTGAGACACAAAGCCATATTGTTAACATTTAGCCACTGTGACACAGCTGATCACAGAGCAGAGGAGATGAGGTGAATTAGTCACTAGACCCAGCAGGACAAGCCCACCCAGTCTGAGCCTTGCTGAGGGAAATTAATGAACAAGGTATGAAAAACACTATTTACCCATGTGCTGTGGGAAACCTGTAAAACTATCTTCATTCGCTCACACAGAGTATTGTTCTACTTTCAGCCCGGCATAGTCACTCTAAAAAAAGAAGGAGACATGCTCACAGCATAAGATTACTGCAGGCACAAGCACGTCCTTTCTGTGCCATTCTGCCCATTGACAAAGAAGGGAAACATGCATGTCATTAAAGTTTTATGGGAGTGCAGTCATCAGCCAGCACTCTGGGGTTCAATCATTAATTCATACCAAACCAGGCAACACTGGGTACTGTAGCGGGCCAGATTGAATGGACCAATGATATACAGTCTATTGGCGTAACTTAAATGTGTTGGACATTAGTGAATCTCCTGGTTATTTCTTTTGACTAAAGAATTAAATATTACTAGTCTTTTTTTTCAGTAGCCAGTCTTTGTTATTATTGTTGCTTTAATTATGAATTGCTTGGTCAAAATACTTAAATCATGTACTAATCTGATGGGTGATACTCAGTGAGTTCGGTGTTAGCTCAGGTAACTATTCACACACTGCCTTTCTGATACATAAATCCAACACTGATGGCTCATGTGGTTTCCTGTATAATGGGGTGCACTAGGGCTTCAGAGAGCACATTCATTCATGATGCTCACTGCAGAGAGCAAACCAAGACTGCACGTTATCGCTCAGGCTGGAAAATTTGATTTCGCTCTTGTACAGTACACAAGTTCAGACTGTGGCATCTGTATTTGCTTCAGTCTCTGAGGTTGCCTGCTAAGAAATTGGCTGCAGAAAAAAACAGTATTCAGTTTTTTATATTATAAGAAAAGGACATGCCCTGCTGAAAAGGATTTGTGTGTTAAAGACCTTTCTGCATTAGCGTCCACACCATTTTGAGACTATATATAATTTCCTAGTCACATGAATCAGGAACTTTAGCCGACTAGCCCACTGAGCATTCAGAGTCGAAGCCTCGATGCTTTAAAGTGAATGGCTATCGAGAAATATTTTTCATCATTTCAGAAGCTGAACAGCCTCAGGCTTGATGACTTTGTGTCTTCTAAGGCACAGTATGCATGAAACTACGGTCAAGAAATAATCATTGAGATTACAGCTTCACCACTTGTCCTACTGCAGTTTAACTAAAAGTACAAAGTTTGTGCATTTCACTAGAGTTCTAAGTGGTACGGTATAAACTATGCAAACCCTGAAACAAGCAGGCAGTGATATAGCACTCAGTCATAAGTTATAAATATATTAAACCATAAAAATACATTTTACCTAACAACGTGTTTATATGTTGTGTCTGACCCACCAAACTGCCACTGTAATTTTAGTCCTGTTTGGAATTTGCTTTATGCGACTGCTTTACCATGAGTGTTTCCTCAAACAGCCCTTTGTGTTTAAATGCAGCAGCTCTCATTATAATTAACACTCACTTCCAGACAGAAGTGACAACACGAGCACTAAGGTGTATAAGCACACAAGGTGTAATTAAAAAACAGATTTAGCACAGCAAGCTGCCGAGCTTGAAACAGACCCAGTGTTTTGCTGAAATATGATGAAGAACCGGACTAGAGTCAGAGGTTGATTGTTAAGCAACAAACTTGTTAAATTGGATTATGATGACGCAGTGGATGCTTTTTATTCAAATGTATGGATGCTGCACATAGAAATTATAACATAACAGGGCAACCTTGGCCTAAATCCAACATATATACAGCAAAATGCATAATCATTTTCACACAACATATACAGCTTTATAGTCAAGCCTGCAGAGACAGCTATTTCAGTCAGAGTAACACAAGTCATGTTGACCCAGCAATGATGCATGTCTTTCTACACAGACTGCTGTCATATCAAAGTTCCCATGTGTATCATCCATACTTGCATTACACTTATGCAGAGGTCAATACTCAGCAGTTAAAACAGGCCAGTGTGCATGCATGTAACATAATAAGCATCATTCCTACCTTAGGATATTGAAACGTCATCATCAGGAAAGTAATCTTTGTATTAGCTTGTGTCTAAATATAGCTCATGTATTCCCAAGGTGAAACAGATGTGGGCTATGTCCCAGTATTCACAACGCAAAAGAGGAGTCTGAGGTTATTCTAAAATTACTAACGGATTTTACTAGGCCATTTGATCAGGGACTGAACAGAAGTTTAAATGACTGTGAATGTGGTTATAGTGACTGAGGGACATTTGCAGTTCATGTATGAATACATAATATGTCCCACAATTTTCCATACTGCAACATTTATCACCTCATTATCGCAGTATCGTTATCATACTAAGATCAAAGTCTGTACTAACCAATTACAGCTATGAAAAGGAAATATATTTACATGTTCCTGTCTTTTACTGTTCTGCTTTTGTTAGAGATTTGTGGAACTGTATGTGTCATTACAGGGATATGTGTTAGGAAGCTGTTTAAAGTATTTTGAAACCAAAATTTGTATTATTATTATTATTAGGTCATATCAGAAAAAGCATGTTGTGTGGGTCACAGCATCAGTATGATTGTTGTGTATGTCTGCCGTTAACAGGCCTACATGTATACTACGTGTAGCAGCCAACAGGCCTACATGTATACTACGTGTAGGCTACTAGCCCCCCTGGTATTTTCTATTTAGACCAGGGAGGATGCTGCATTCCCAATGCGCCCCTTCCTCAAACAATCTGATCGAAATTTGAATATTAAATCCACAGTTTCTCACCTCCACAATGAATGCAAATCCAATTACTGGCCAAACAGCAAACAATCATTTAGAGAATACTGGAGGTCAGAGGGCATGTGGATTTGCTCCACTAACCCATATTTACAGTAGTCGATGTTGTTTAAATGCAAGAATGGCAGCGTGGAATAGAAATATGTCCTATAGTCGTGGCCTGCATTCCCTTCTTCTCTTAGCTAAATGCAGCGCGATCCAATTATGAGAAGGGCGCATGGAGCCTGATACACTGAAAAATTAGGTTGGGTATGTAACATGTATATGATGTAAAAGTAACGTTTCAGTGCTGTTTTAATGCATCTTACCGTGGTACTCTGCGATGACCTCGCTCACCACAGCGGCTGGTGATGTCGGCTTGTCTTTCCTGCACGGACCCGACGCCTGCGTCTTTTCTTGCGTCCTTTGAAGAATAACACCAAACACATGAAGCTGTCGAATCATCTGGCGTTTAGGTTCCGGAGATGATCGTGTTTCCAGCAGATCTCTCTGAGGATGCGCTTCCCCCGTCCGCCTGCTTGAACTGAGCCGTGTTATGGCAGCCAGCCTGGAGACTGGAGACCCTCCCCCGGGCGCAAAGCAGTCTGTCAGGTGGACACTCAGCATCCTTCACATTCCTGCATCACTGGACGATAAAGGGCAGGCCTGCACATAAAAGCGCTCAGCTTGTTCGCTTTTCTCCCCTACGGTAGTTTTTACGGTTGACATTTTGGCATGTGACATTTGAGGCGCACTAAGCCTGGGATATTACAGTCCTGTAGCGTTCAAATGGGGGTTTACATTAAGAATTCCCACTGACATGATCAAATTTTATGGTATTTTTCCATACATGTTGTTATAAACGTGCATATTCGGTGGCATATTTGTTGACAGACCGGCTTGTTCTCGTGTTTTAGTATTCTTCTATTAGTCTTAGTAGACTAGGAACCAGTAGGTTTTATTTTACTAAAAAATACACGATGCAGTTCAGAGGGCTTTATGTCTGTGCATCACAAAATCATATGGACAAGTTTACAATAACCCAAGAAGAACTGGTCAAAGGTTTTACCACTTCTAGACCAGCCACAAACTATAGAGCCATCTGCTGGCAGTGATGAACCCCCCATGGTGCCTTCATTTGCTGACAAAAAGTACAAATATAAACAAATAATAAAATAGTGTTATATATTAGGACAATGGAAATTTCATTTTTACAATTGAAGGAACGCTATATGATCCATATTGTGAAATAGTGAAATGTCCTGATCTCCACTCCACAGATTTATTTTAGTATTTGAATCATATGAATTAATATTATTTGAATTATCCCTGATGTGCAAACAGAACATGCTTGCTTTCCCCTGTGCTGCTGCTCTACTGCTCAGTTAATGTGTACAATCACACTTTGTAGCATTAAATAGTTGTGCACAGCAAGTGGCATTTACATGCATGACTCCTGAGTCAGAAATGAGGTCCCAAGGGAAACCTTAGTGCAGTTTTGTTAAAGGGCGACTTAATAAAAGCTCCTCTTTTCCTAGGATCTACAGCCATACAGGCAAAATTCAAGTCTGCAGAGGCTGATGGATATGACAAGGAATACATTTTGGCATTACATTAAAATATGATAAATAACCGTGCTTCTTATAGAGTCTATGATACCCTGTGGCTGTTACCAACACACAGACACACAAAAGGCATTTAATATAACAGGACTGTTTTTGCTGACCTCTAGTGGACGTTACACTGAGCTAATGCAGCGATTCAATCTTAGGCAGTTGCTAAATAAATACATTTAGCAGACAAATCATTTAGGCTACAGGTCATTATGTAATGCATATGAAACATCTGGGTTGAGAGAATTAATCATTTGAAAGTGTAGTGAAAAGTGGAGATAGCCTCACACACATTTACATACTTTTAGACTGTTAACAGTAAAGGAGCTCAAAACTTATTTTAATATGGCCCACAGTATGATTAGATACCTGTGGAATAATCCATTAAACGTTTTTTCAGTGAAATGTGTAATAGGTTGGGACATTACAACATTTTCTTGAAGACAACTAAAAGCACTGATGACTAAATGAACTTTTTATGTTGCAGACATTCAGAGTTAGCAAAAAAAAAAATCACTGTTATCGTGTATAGTAGTACAGAGTCCACATAACTAGGGTGCCAGGGTCATCAGGTATCTTGATTCAGATGACATTTTGCTGTTTGGAAAGGGTAGTCAGGGTTTTGTGATGTTGTGGGTCTATTACATATGTACATTTTCTTTCTGTCCTCAGTTTTTTATCTGGCACCAGAAGCACATTTCACCAGATGTCAGTAGGGGGCAGTGTTGCTCTATAAATTCCACATAAATCTTGTTTAATGCTTAACACTCTTTAGTGATTCATAAAGGTGCATGTTTGTGTAACAAAGGCACAGTCACTTGCATAATGTTCCTCATCTTATAATGGAACTATTTTAGTTATACTTTATATTGAAGTCAAAAGAGATGGGATTGTCATTCTCGGCTACAATTAAGAAAACTGCTTTGTGAGTGAATCCTATCAATTGCTCGAGTTAATTGCCATAAAGGAAACACTTAAGCCTGGCGAGCAAAGAAAATACAGGATCTGTCAAATACAGAATTTTCATTGAGTATCTTTTCCTTATCAGTGCAGCAACAATCACTGTTGTAATCATCATCAGTGCTTTGCACAGTCTACAAACACCAATTCCAAATTGACTGTAGACATCAATATTGTACCTGACTGCTTTGGTACTCAGCCACTGATTTTTACCCCCTAGGTAATACTAAAAAAGTGTTTTGACTTTTAGCAACGGGCATTTCAAAGATGAACAATGAGGCACTGTTTTTGGAAGTACATTCACTTCCTCCAGGCTCAGGAGACCTTTGGGCAGGAAAATGTTTTCCATCAGCATGTCATATAGACATCAGTACTGAAAAACGTTCCAATCTGACCTCCATCTCTTCATTTTATCTCAGCTGAGACAAGGAATTCTTCAAGTGGGTTTTGGTATTTTATAAGACACCTTCTATGTTTTCCCCTCATATTTAAAATAACACATTGATTGATTACACTGATTTATTAAAGCTTTCTACAGAATAGAAATCTTAAGCTGTATCCTTGTACTAGAAGCATCCATAGCTACGGTATATTGTTTTGAAATAGGCCATGATGACAAGTTGTTCACTAGTGACCGCTGGTAGTGATATAAATTTTTCTATCTATCCTGCCTGTTGGCTCTAACTCCAGACCAAGAGAAAAGGTGCGGCTGAGAGCTTTATGACAAAATGCTTTATCCCCCATTAACCTTCACAGAGTGGGAATCAGGAGGGGATTTCAGGTGGAATAAAGCAGCAGTGTCAATAGGCAGGTGTGTCACTGAGCTCAGTGGTGGCAATGGGGTAGCATGAGGTGCCCGCTTTCCTCCATTTCTCCTCTTTATATTGGGGTCATTTCTTTGCTGGACTCTGATAAGAAAATGATTATGTCTCATGGACTCAACCACTATCCAATTCATGTCCCTGTTTGCTCTGCACAGTAGGTAAGCCTGCAGTGTGCCATGTGTGAATACTAACTCAAGACCAAAGAACTCAGTGAGGCAATTCAGACTGTACCGCTTCACTGTATCTGAAATGGATGAGTCTGAGTTGACATATGGTAAAACGCCAACACTGTGGAAACAAACATGATGTACATACACATACTGTATGCACCTGAAAACAGATTTAGCCTACAGGAATCAGCAGTCAGCTGTCAAATTCCCCTTGATGCATCTGGTCACCCATGAAAATGGAAATGATAGTGCCTGCTCTATTGATGGGAAATCAGTCTGGCTCCTCATCAGGGCTCTTAATTAAAGTCAAGCGCTGACCATTAGCCCCTGTAATCCTCCTCACCCAGTGCCAAGCATGACTTTGAGGCGTAACAGTACACACTGTTTTAACAGCTCCGGAGTTCTCACAGAGGTGTAATAAATGTCAGACGCACCTTTGCTAGTGGCTTTCATGGGTAACAAAGCTGTTTTGAAACGAGATTTAAGTTCTCTTAACTCTACAGTTCATTACAGCCAATCATAACCAGTAATTTCCCTTATCCTCAGGATGCTGGCATCACACAGTGTGGCTTTTTTCACTGTCTACTACAGAATGTGATCATTCCTTGCTCACTATAGTTGCTGCTTAATTGAGCTGGATGCATGTCAATGATTTCACTTAGAGGGGGATCATCAAGATTCAGACAAGCACCTGGTCTTTTATGTGCCTGTAGAAGGCTGGCAGGAAAAATGATTACTGGCCTCATTTGTTCTCTATAGACAGTTGTGACCTTTCCAATTGGCACATCCTCTTACGAATATGACAGCTTTTCTTTTCTGAAACCAGGAGTGATCTTGCATTTAATATGCGCATAAATTGCATTTTCACCCACTGGGAGCTTGGACTGAGAACATACTGTACAATCAGTATGTTAGTAGAAGTTTATGATGATCCCAATGTGTTTGCCTCTCAGTTCCATTCTAACAGTTCTCAGAAAAAAAAGTTCTTACTAACAAATGATTTCCATAAATACCAGTGCATATAAAGAAATAAACTACCAGCAATCACAGTTATGATATATTCCATAATGTTATGGAATATATCATAAATGTGTAAATGCCATGACAACAGCATGCAGAAAGACAAAAGTATTCCTCCAGAGCTGCCTTTACCTTTGAAATGCAATGAGAGCGATTGGCTTGGACAATACTGAACATCAAAATCAAAACCTGATCTCAACACACAATCTAAGAAGTACATGAGAACAAAATACACACATGGGAGCCACATAGCAAGACACAGCTTTCACAATCAATACCAATTAAATACCTACTCTCAATTTATACAACGTGGTTAGATTGTATCGTAAAATGCATTTCTGCCAAGAGGGTGGAGATAAATGCATAGGGAGGTATTGCCAGAATCATTGTTTACTTGAATGGATTACCTTTCAGTAAAATTGATAGGATGCGTAATCACTGGGAAATAGTGTAGAATAAATTGGCAGGGTTATAAAAACAAAAAGCTCAAATATCAAGTGGAGGTTTGATTTGAACTGGTATCTTCTTCACCAGGAGCCACAGGACTCAGTCTCTGTTCTTGATAAGTGCTGCTCTACAGTGCAAGTCCACTTCTGTACTGTTTATTGATTTGAATAAATAACTATGTGAATGCTTTTAATTCATGTGTTTTCTATGCAATTTCATGTTGTCTCAGAGTCCATCTAGATTCCACTTTATTTTTAGCCATTTAGGTTTGTATCCTTGAATTGAAATTGCATGCTCAGGCCTTTTTAGAACTGAAAAACCGGTCATTCATATGGGAATTTAAATGTAACTGGAAAAAAAAACAGATTCAAATATTGTTATTGCCTCAAACACCAAAACAGGAATTTTCATACATACACACACAGTGCAAGGACACACACAAAGACACATACAGACACTTTTACACACCTCTATCTTTTGCTGCATCTCTCACACTTTTGCACCACTTTTTCTGCTTCAAGTTTTAAGCCAAGACATTTTTATCCAGGGACTCTTATGTCCATCACTGCTTTCATACTGTATCTTGAGCAGGACTGGAGACCAGTCTAAACCTGGGCCTTAGTAATGATGACCACAGGCACAACAGCCATCTGTAACGTGTCTGCTCCTCCCTTCAGGGAGCTGGAGAAGGATCTGCTGTCATTCTAGCAAGGGAAACATCTGTTCCCATTAAATTACTGTGGCCCTGCCATGCAAGTTATCG